CTTCCTGGATACAAGTATATGAATGAACTGACAAAAGATTACCGGATACGAATGTCTGACGAGCGGCAAGGACGCGAAACCGGTTGTGCGCTTCCGGGGAAATTTTATCCAATCGTTCTCATACTACTTACTATGATATATATATATACAGCAATAAAAAGACAACTTTTCGTAGCATGATAGAAATGCGAAGTAGACTGTCAGCGGATAGCTGATCCGATCCAGAAAATAAATCTCGGCTAGCAAAACCTTGGTTCACCGGGCATTGCATACTGTGGCTTTGCTCTCGTTGAAGTGTCAAAAAGTATGCGGGCAGTGTTTTTTCTGTCATGATTTGTATCAGGACAACTCCCGATCGAAAATGATTTATTTGTTCATTTGTTTCACGTATTCATGCAGACCAGTATTCATTGTTTTAGGAGAAGATCGTTCTAATACGGTGTATGAACAGATAGGTGCTACCAAAAAAACCGAGGCAAGCGGATTAATCTCAATTTTACCAAACTATTCTATTCGGATACAAACGAGTTCTATTCGAAAACAGTATAAGGATGAATGGCACTTCTGTACAGCATATCCCTGTGATAAGGTTCTAACGAACGTACCGAACACAAATTCTTCCAGTCCAAAAGTTCACTCAGGCGTTCCGTGCGGTTGCGAAGAACAATTCGTTGACGACGGGAATATTGACAAAATTCAAACAGATACTGAAATTCGAAAACCGATTAAACGCATTAGGAGAGCGGAAAAGCAGAGATATAAAATTTAACGGACAAGTACCGATAATAGGAAATTCAGATCCCGAGGCATTCATATTTTTGAAAAAGTCATGAAGCAAGTCCATGAGGAACAGGAAGAAGGGAATCGTCGTTGCAAAGTGCCATAACGGATATAATGAAATATTATTATCACTCACTTTGGTAAGTTGTTGGATGCTATCCTCACAGTTCTGGAAGCGCCGGTCAATCACGTAGATACCATAGGACTTTGGATCTTCAACATGTTCCTCCATGAAACAACCGAATCCAGAAAGGTTTGTGGACACCGACGGAATTCCCATAACGGTACATTCAGCTGTGTTGAACGGGTGGAAAGAAGTAAACCGTTTAAAAGTGGAAGATTATACGTCAAGACATCGACTGACTGGATTTCACTGTTCTCCAAAAAAGAAGTAGTGCACGAAGGTCAGGCAAACCGATGTGCTTGACGGCCTAACAGTTCTCTATCAATTTTTACCAAAGAATAGGGTATATTACATTGTATTTCTATCGACAGAGGTGAGGGGCGAATCTGAATATAGTCATTTTACATTTGATATATTTGATATTTTTCTAACGCCACACTGTGTAACAAACAAATCATGGTACAATAATCTTTGTGAACAGGAAAGACGATTCATGATTTGCATGTGGGCGGAATACTGCCAGGTTGCCCAGGCCAAAGCAGGTGAGCTTGTTTGAGGAATTCACAATCGGAGCCTTCGACTAGCCAAAGCCTGACCCGCAAAACAGCAAGGCGGTGTGGGAAAACCGCAATCCATTGGGGGGGGGCGATGTCCATTTCAGCTGGCCTAGTGCTAACCAGGCTGCTTCATCTAC